CCGAACATCTCCGCAGAGAAATAGAGGTTTAAAGAAAACCAAATACATAATTTTAAATTGAAAAATATAGTAATCTAAATAATGTATTATATGGCACAACTGTAGAATGCAGATGAGAGGAAATAGTGAACTTGAAGACAAACCAATAAAAAATGTCCATTCTGAACAGGAAGCAATTGAAAAACAGTAACAAAAACATGAAGAGAGTCAGGGGCAAATTCCAAAAGGTCTAATATTCTGTCATCTGAGCCTGGAAGAGAAGAGAGAGAGTGTGGCACAGAGGAAAATAACTGAAGAAATAAGGGCTGAAAACACTCAAAATTTGGTGAAAGACAAACATAGATGTAAGAAGTTCAGTGAATCCCAAACGTATCACATCACAATCAAACTGGTAAGAATCAAAGTCAAATAAAAAAATGTCAAAAGCAGTCAGAGGAAAAGGATCCAAATTACTCTGGTTTCTCACCAGAAACGAGGGAGGTCAGAAGGAAGTGCTCATTTTTCAGATGCTGCGAGAAAAGAACGTTTGACCCAGAATTCTCTATTCAGCAAAAAAAAAAAAAAAAAAAAAAAAAAAAAAAAAAAAATCCTTTAGGAATCAAGGCAAAATAAAGACCTTCTCAAATGAAAGGAAGCGAAGCGAAGTCGTGGCAGCCGTGCTCCTCGACAGGAAATACTAAAGCCAGTTCTTCTGCTGGAAGGGAAGTGGACCAGAGAGCAACTTGGGACCCCAGGAATGAAGGAAAAACCAACAGAAATGGCCAATATCTGGGTAAATATAGATATTTTTCTTAAGTTATTTGAAAAGTGAAAGTTAGCAAAAAAAATATAACTGGTGGGGTTTTAGTTGTAGTGACAACTACAGTGTAAAAGAGGGAGACCGTAGTGAACTTGGTGGCAAGACTTCCGCGTTCCACTTAAGGTACTAAAATACTGATCTTAAGGAGACTCGGACAAGTTACATATATTATAGTCCCTACAATAGGCTTTTTCAACCGCAGCACTATTGATACTTTGAACTGGAGAATCCCTTATTGTAGGGGACTATCCTGGTACTTCAGGATGTTTAACAGCACCTATGGCCTCTACACACTAGATACCAGCAGTGTTCCTCCAGCTGGGGCTGTGGAACAGCCCCAGAAATTGTCTCCAGAAATTGCCAGATGTTTCCTTGGGCAGGGGTGTGAGGATGGGGTCATAATCACTCCCATTTGGGAACCAATGCCCTAGAGCACTAAAAGAACTATACAGGCTGGGCACGGTGGCTCACGTCTGTAATCCTAGCACTTGGGGAGGCCAAGGCAGGTGGATTGGCTGAGCTCAGTTCAAGACCAGCCTGGGCAACATGGTGAAACCCATCTCTACTAAAATACAAACATTAGCCGGGCGTGGTGGCAGGCGCCTGTAGTCCCAGCTACTTGGGAGACTGAGGCAGAAGAACTGCTTGAACTCACTGGGAGGCAGAGGTTGCAGTGAGCTGAGACACGCCACTGCACTCCAGCCTGGGCAACAGAGCGAGACTCCATCTCAAAAGAAAAAAAAAAAAAAATATATATATATATATACACACACACACACACACACGAGATACAGTGAAAAATCAGATACATTAAAATGGGATGTTTGTAAAATTTCAAATCTAAAAGAAGGCAGGAATAAAACAGTAGGGACAAGCTGAGAACAAAAAAAAAATTAAAATGGTCGACCTAAATTCAAACATGTCAGTAATAACATTCATTGTAAATGGCCTAACCATACCAATTAAAGGACAACAATGTTCAAATTGATTTAAAAGGAAACCCAAGACTCAGCTACCTACTGTTTACAGCAGGCTCACTTTAATTACATCCATGGCTGATGCCGGGGTGCAGGGATATACTGAGCAGGAGGCCATGCAGTGAGATTAAAAATAAGAGGATGGAGAAAGATATACTATGCATATATGAATCAAAGAAAGCTTGGAGTCACTGTATTAATACCAGGCAAAGTAAAACATTTGCCTTGAATAAAAAGGGACATTGCATCATGATAGACCGGTGAATTCACCAAGAGGAGAAAACAGTTCTGAGTGCGTATGCACAGAACCCCAGAGCCTGGAAGTCCGTAAGGCCAGAACTGATAGAAATGGAAAGACAAATCTCCGGTTACACTTAGGGACTCCAGCTCTCCTCAGTAACAGATAGAAAAAGCAGACAAAGTTAGCAAGGATATAGAAAACCTGGGCACCATCAACAACCAAGTGAATGTACGATTCTTTTCAGATCCCATTAGGTATTCACCAAAACAGACCATATCCTGGGTCATGAGAATTTTTTAAAAGAACTGAAATTGTCCAGAGTATTTTCTACGAATATAGAATTCAGCTAGAAATTAATAGCAGAAACAGATCTTAAGTCTCCAAAGATTTAGAAGCTCATCAACACACCTTTAAACAATCTGTTAAAGATGTCTCAAAGCAAACTATGGAAAATATTTTGAACTGAAAAAAACACCATATCAAAATTTGTGGGATGCAACTAGAGCAATGCTTAGAGTTAAATTTGTAGTATTAAATACTGATTTTAGAAAAGGAAAGTTCTCAAATCATCAATCTAAGCTTAAGAAACTAGAAAATGAAATGCAAAGTAAACCCAAACAAGCAGAAGGAAGGAAATAACGGAGCTAACACCAAGCAACAAAAATGAAAACAAAACTGCAGCAAATATGAAAAACCAAGCCTAAAGCTGGTTCTTCGGAACAAATCATTAACTGAGAAACCGGTAGCCAGAGTGCCAAGCAAGCACAGATCCCCAGTATTTGGTATGAAGAGGATATTCTGTAGGCCCCACAGGCATCAGAAGAGTACAGTGAACCACCTCATGCCCATACATTTGAAAATCTGGATTAAATGGACCAATTCCTTTAACCCAAGAAGAAATAACTTGAATATCTATTAAATAATCCATATCTATGAAGGAAATTTCAGATGCATAATCTAAAATCTGAAAAGGCTCTTTTTCAAGGGAAGCCAGAAATTGTGTGTCTGTGTGTGTGGGGTGTGTGTGTACACAGTTATCAACTGATTAAAAACAAAGTGTTGAAACTCAAGTGTGAGCCGATGCTGCACGCCAAATAAAGCCACGGGCTTTGTGTGGGAAGCAGCCCGTCCCTGAAGCAGGCATGGCCGCCTTTGTGGCTCTCAGGCCTTGAGTCTTGTTCACAAGCACATCCTGGGAAATCTCAGCCGTGTGTGAAGGTCAGGCGAGCGCGCTGTTTCCCATCCCGGTGTGAGGGGTCAACTGGAAGCTGTGTGGGGCGACGGTGGGGTCACCGCGCGATTCCCGGGCGCCTGCTGTGTGCATGGCTGGTGCGGGAAAGGTGGGTGCCTTTGCACTGGGGCTGTGGTCCCAGACCCGGAGCCCCACCCCAGGTCAGCTGTACAGCCCTGCCCACGCCTAAAGGGGGATTCCAAAGCCTGGGCTGACTGCTGGGGTGTGTGGGAGGCCGAGGTGCCCACACCACCTTCCCCCAGTGCTACCCAGGCGCCACCCTGTCTGTCTGTGGAAAAGACTGGATTTTGTGGAGCTGGAGCTGCATCCAGGGGAAGACACATCCCAGAGAATAAAAACTGGGAGGAAAATGCACCCTGGGGGTTGGGGGAAACCCTTGTAATTTAGCTAAACCGACCCAAGTGGAAACAGTCCCCAATCCTCCTGGTTTTTCCCAGTGGGTGTAATGATAAAGCCAGATTTATGCTCTGAGGCCAACAAGATGCTCCGGAGCCAAGCACTGTGGGCTTAGGAGAGAGAAGTGGGTGCAGATGCCAGCTGTCTCCTGTGGGTTCCCAGCTCCAGCCCTGACCCACACACCTGGCCACGGCTGTGCCCAAAGACTCTCGCGCAGGGCGGCTGTGCCACCCAGGCCACTTCAGGGCAGGCGCCCACGCTGGCTTGTGAGCAGGATGGAGGCCCCGGGGTGGGGGACGGCTGTGTCCTGTCCTTTCTGTCCAGGCAGTGCTCCCCGCCCAGGCTCTGCCTCTGGCTTCAGGAGCTGCGGAAGGGTCAGTGACTGATTTAAACATTTCACGTGGGAAAACACAGCAGCACTCATGTTCGCTGCTAGGCAAGCCGGGGCATGAACACGGCGGTGGGAGAAGTGTGTTTGGACTAGGATGGTGGGTGGCGGCTGCTCCCTGTTCACTCCAGGAAGGGAAGGTTTGAGCCAATCACCAGGGAGGGAGGCCTGGCCGGCAGAGACCCAGGAGCAGCTGCTCCGCTCCACTGTGTGCCTGGAGGTCCCTATCTGCGTCCTCAGCACCCTCCCAGGCCTGCCCCCTCCCAGAATCGCCACCACCCACCAGAGGCCCTGACCTCGAGTGCTCGCCCTGCCGTCCCCTGTAGCCTCCGGCTGGTCTCGCTGATAAGAGGCCCTGACCACCTCAGCTGCCCACCCCTGCCGTCCCCTGTAACCTCAAGGTGGTCTCGCTGTCAGAAGCCCTGACCTCCTCGGCTGCCCACCCCTGCCGTCCCCTGTAACCTCAAGGTGGTCTCGCTGTCAGAAGCCCTGACCTCCTCCGCTGCCCACCCCTGCCGTCCCCTGTAACCTCAAGGTGGTCTCGCTGTCAGAAGCCCTGACCTCCTCGGCTGCCCACCCCTGCCGCCCGCTGTAACCTGAGCTGGTCTCGCTGTTCTTGGGCATGCAGTGCTTGAGTCGGAGCCCCCGGAGCCCCAGCCAGGCGGCAGCTCCTGAGGTCACAGAGAAGGCAAGGGCCGGGTTGTGTGGGACAGGCAGGGTCAGCGTGTGTCCTTTGGCCCCCTGGGGTGTCCCTGACTCCTTGGGGTAAGGCAGTGCTCCCCACCCAGGCAGGCCCCAACCTCCCAGGGTATCCCCCTGACCCCCTGGGGTGTTCTTGATCCCTGGGTCACCCCGTGGACTGCCTGGGTGTCCCCTCGACCACCTGGGTGCCCCCTGAGCCCCAGGTTACCGTCCTCCCCACCGACTGCCCGCTTGTGTCTCCACAGCATCAAGATGGTGCTCATGTGGACCAGTGGCGACGCCTTCAAGACGGCCTACTTCCTGCTGAAGGGCGCACCTCTGCAGTTCTCCGTGTGTGGCCTGCTGCAGGTGCTGGTGGACCTGGCCATCCTGGGGCAGGCCTACGCCTTTGCCCGTCACCCCCAGAAGCCGGCGCTGCACGCTGTGCACCCTGCTGGCACCAAGGCCCTCTGAGAGTGGGGAGGACAAGGATATGGGCCAGCCAGCCACGGGCACTGGTGGGTGCTGTGGCCGCCGCAGGTGTGGGGAAGACGGGGTCCGGGTGTTGGGGTCTCCAGCCTCTGTGGGGTCTCTCCGGGTGGGCGGTGGGGGTGGGACAGCCAGGGTGGATCTGAGCCCGAGAGTTTCGGATGTTTTTAGGGTGATATAAAAAGCAAGTGTTTTTCCCGTTTCCTCTTACAAAACACCATCTGAGCCCGAGGTACACACGGGGCGGCGGAAGGTGACCTGCAGGAACCTGCTCCAGGTGGACCCGTGGGGTGACCTCAGGAGACCCTGCAAGTCCTGTGAGCAGAGCTGTCAACCCCGCGACACCCTGGCCAGACCCTGCTTGGACTGGGGCGGCCTCTGCTCTGCCTGGTACACGTGGAAAGGGGCTGTGTGGACGCAGGGTTACCGTGCTCCTGGTGGAAAGGGGCTGTGTGGACGCAGGGTCCCCGTGCTCCTGGTTTCTGGCAGTTGGTGTCTCCTGGGCCTCGAGAGCGGCTGCCAGGCCCGGACGCCTCGTGGCTACGCTGTGTCCAGCCCTGCTGAGCATCACCAGGGGTAGCTCACGCTGCTTTTGTCAGAGCCTCTGGTCCTCCTGGAGTCCTTGGGGATGTGGCAGATGCCAGCAACCATCAGACAACGTGGAGTCCCTCACGGGTGAAGGCTGCGGGGGCCGTGCCGAGGCTGTGCACACGCAGTCCGCACGCCACCCTTGGGCTCCACTGGCAGAGAGCCCCTTCCTTCTGGACGCCAACTGCACCTCCGGATACAGCGTTGATGTCCATTTTCCAGGAGGGAGGCGGCCTCGGGTCCAGGGAGTGGAGGGGCTGCCCCTGCCACGCAGGTCCTGGCCGATGGTCCCTCACCCTGCCGCCCTGGGCTTTTGGCCTGAAAGCAAATTCCTGAGTGGGAGTGCCGGGGCCTGCCACATCCTGTCCTGTCCACTGCCTGCCCCCTTGTGCTGGCTCCACAGTTCTGCTACGGTGGGAGCTGCCAGTCTGACCCTTGTCACCCCACGCTCTGCCCCCACCCCGTTTTCAGTTTAGCACAAGGTCACACGGTGTCAGCAGCCCTGCACTGACCGCAGCCGGCCTCCAGTCCTCAGAGTTCTGGATGCTTCTGTGCGGCTCCAACAGGCATCGTCTTCCCTTCCGCGGGCGGAGGGGCCGCTTCCCGCAGGCGTCTGAGCTCTCCGCCGGGGCCGTAGCTGTGGCCGTGGGAAGGTGTTCCACGCTGCCGCCCCCTGAGTCTTCCTCGGAAACACTCTTGAATGTCTGAGTGAGGGTCCTGTTTAGCTCTTTGGCCTGTGAGATGCTTTGAAAATTTTTATTTTTTTAAGATGAAGCAAGATGTCTGTAGCGGTAATTGCCTCACATTAAAATGTCACCGATTGCAGGCACGGTGACTGCTGAATGTATCCCGTGTGGTGACTTGGAATCAATAAACCATTTGTGGATCCCGTGTGGTATGAGTGGGCCCCGGGCAGAGGGAAGGATCTGGCTGTGGTCCTGGCCTCTGCCCAGACACACCCTTTAGCCTGGGCCACCTTAGAAGGCTCCCGTGTGACCCGGGTTCCTCCAGGGCCCCCAAATGACAGCCCAGCCCCCTCAACCTGTCACTACCCTTTGCCTGTGGGCCAGTGGCCCAGGGGTCCCTTCGGCTCGTCACAGACGGGTCTGGCTGCCCTGGCCTCTGCGGTTCACACATCCGCCCTTCTGCCTCCCACTGAAGGCTCAGAGCATGGGAAACGCCTCCTTTAAAGGCCAAGAGAAGCGTTTCCAGATTTGTGATCTGGGAGCAGCTCATAGAGGTGGAGCTGTGTGCGCACTGCGAGTTTTTCCATGCAGTGTTTACATTGAAGGCAAGATGCGAGTTTCTTTGTCCAGTAAAAAACCAGTCGCATGGGTGCAGGGCAGGATTTGGGTTGAAGGGCCCATCCGGGTACTAGGAGAGGGCACAGGCCACATCCCAGCAGCAGCCTGGGGGAAGATGGGAGATGAAGGCCAGCGCGTCTAGAACGTCTGGGACACAAATCGCCCTCCTCAAGTGCTGGTGGGTGGTGCCAGATGAACCCGAGGTCTCGCGCAGGGGTGGGGTTGTGCGTCTTCAGGGTGTGGAGACAGGCAGTTTTTGGGGACCACTCTGGGCCACCGGGTTTTAACAGGAAATGGGGGCAAGGTCTCAACCCCACACTGTGGGAGCCGTGGGGGGTGGGGGCAGCGGTGGAAATAGCTGCGTTTCTCAACTCTCAAGGCACTGCCACCCTGCGATGCCTTCTGACAGTTTTAAGCAACAAAGCACCACGGGGGAAGCAGGAGGCCGAGGACTCCTCCCAGTGAGAGAGAGCAGGTCGTGGGAGCCTGAGAAGTTCACATTCCTCTCACCACATGAGGAAACTGAGGCCTGCCCTGAGCCCCAGCCCTGTGCCCTTCCCAGGGGCCTGAGAGGGTGGCCCACAGGGCACCTGTAGAGGGAAAAGGATGCCCAGGGGCTGGGTGGGCACTTGCTCAGGAGGAAATGTCCCCCCACCCCAGTCTCAGCACAAGTGCCCGGCACCCCCATCCTGGTGACCCAGGGTGGCCTCTGGTGGGCCCGGGGCTCCCTGGCCAGACCCTGCAGCCCAAAGTGGGGAGGGGCAGGTCCAAGACTCCCCATCCCCCGACATTCCCCACCTCTGACCTGGCCCTCCGTGGAAGAACGACTTGGGTTTATTTCTGGGGGTCTTCGTGGTGGTCAGCACCTCACCGCACAGGAGGAATTCTTCTGTCTTTGGGGGTCACCAGCAATGCTGGGACAAGCAGCAAGTAGGGGGCACCGGCCTCAGCGCGTGGCCCCTCGGGCTGTCCTCTGCGTGGGCCTCTCAGACCAGTACCAAGCTCTGCTCATTCCTGAGCAAGACCCAAGGCTGTCACTGTGAGAGTGGCCCTCAGTGCAGAGCCAGACCCCAGGCCCACCCGCGCTGTGTGCCTGGCGTCCATGGACCCTCCGTGTCATGGGCACCTGGGGCACCAGCTGACCTGGCTGTTGGGGGAGGCAGGTCTGAGCCCCACGTGGTCCCGGTGGGTTGCTGCAGGTCTGCTATGGAAAAGGACTGGGGCTTGCACTCAGGCACTCACCGGGGCCATGCACATCTCCCCTTTCTCCACACCTGCGTCCCCTACGGACTCCTGCTGTGTAATGGACAGTGGGACCCTCTGGTGAGGCATCCCCCTTCCGCTTCGGGCTGTGGCCATCATGTCTCAAGTTTCCTGGGTGAACTCATCAAAATGAACGCGTGCAGAGCAGCGCGGTGTGGAAATTTCCTTCCTCTCCACCTGCAGAAAGGCCCAGAAGGCGGCCATGGAAGGGTTGCAATGCCACACGCAGACCTTATGCAGAGGGAGTGTCAGGAGGCCCTTGTCACCCTCCCTGAGGTCAAGCCTTGAAGATTCCCCAGGGAGGTGGTGTCAGGGAATGGAGGTTAGAGGTCAGGGCTGGAATCCTCTTCCCTGACCACCAAAAGGGCAGTTACTGGGGCGGCACTGGGGGTGCTGTGAGCCTCGGCTCAAACCTCTGTCCCATCCCTGGGAAGGTGATGTGGCCTTGGGCAGAGGTGGATGCGGAGGGCCTCCTTCCGTAGGCTGCCCATTCTGGGTGCCATGGGGGCCTGGCAAGGGCTGCGCTACCCCTTTCTCCCTGGCCGGAGGCAGGAAAAGTCGGGGGCGGGGGGGGGGGTGACGAAGTCATCCACAGTCGGCGTGGAACTTCTGGGACTTACTAAATTTATTTTTATCTAGGTATAAAAAATTAAAAATCCAAAGAAAGAAGCAGGGCAGGACACAGGCCAGTGACTTCGCCCAGCGCTGCCAGGGGAGTCAGGCGGGGCCCCGCCGAGTTCTGGGGCTGCTCACACAGGAGGGCCGAGGACGCGGCCGGCAGGAGCCGCTCCCCAGAGCCAGACGACCCCCGCCCTTCGGCGCGCCTCGGGGGTCCCGACGCTGCAGCTGGAGGGGGCGGGGGATCCCCGTGCGGGCGGCGCAGGCATCAGCGCTCTGCCCGCACCCACAGCGCGTCCGCGGAGTCGGCGGCCTGGCCCGCGCCGTCGGGGCCCTGCGAACTGTCCTCGGTGGCCGTGGCCGAGCGCGTGCTGTCCTCCCGCAGGGCCGGCTCGGGGCTGGTCGCGCGCTGCTGCTGCTCCTTGAGCTCGGAGTAGGAGCGCGAGAAGGTGTGGAAGATGGAGGTGACCGGGAAGGCCATGAGCAGGATGCCGCTGAGGATGCTGCTGAGCGCCACCACCTGCCCGGGCAGGCTGCGCGGAACCATGTCGCCGTAGCCCACGGTGGTCATGGAGATGACGGCCCACCAGTAGCTGGCGGGCACGCTGGAGAAGTCGCGGCGCGCGCCCAGCTCGCGCTCGGCCAGGTGCACCAGCGGCGCGAAGAGCGCCATGGCCACGCACAGGAACAGCAGCAGCAGCCCGAACTCGCGCGCGCAGCGTTGCACGGTCAGGCCCAGCGAGCGCAGCCCCAGCGAGTGGCGCGCCAGGCGCATCACGTAGAGCACGCGCAGCGCGCGCAGCAGCCGCAGCACCAGCCCCGCGCGCTCCAGGAGCTTGGTCCCGCCCGGGCCCGCCGCCAGCCCCAGCAGCAGGGACACGTAGAACGGCAGCAGCGCCAGGATGTCGATGATGTTGAGCGGCGCGCGCAGGAAGGCGCACTTGCTCTCGGCCTGCAGGGAGCGTAGCAGGAACTCGAAGGAGAACCAGGCCACGCACACGGTCTCCAGCACGAACAGGCTGCGGCACTTGGGGGAGCACTCGCCCTGCGGGGAAAGGGGACGTGGGGTTGGGGGCGCAGGCCTGTTGGAGGGCCGGGGCGCTGCGCCCTTCCTTCCCCAGGACCAGAGGCGTCCCCAGGCCACCCTTCCCGCGCCAACCCACGGAAGCGGGTGCAAGGGATATTGACAAACAGGCCCAGTTCTATTTGGAAAAAAAAAAAAAAATGAAAAACCAGCAAGATTTAATGGTGATCACTTCGGGCTTGAGAGCGGATGCCCTTAGCTGACCCAGGAAACTGGTGAAAATAATGTTTAAACCTTTGACCTTTTAAAGCCTTGGGAAATGATCTTAAGAGCAAACAGCAAACAAAGAAACATCTATTTATATGTGAACATTCTGTAAGAAAGAGCATTTGTGGTATCTGTGTCAAGACTGCATCCTCCTCCTCAGCTTGGCCAGGAGGAGACTCCATGTGGAATGGCTGCAGCCAGGGACACAGCCCTCCCACCCCCACCCCACCCACAGCTCCCAGTCAGGGGGCTTCTTCCCCCAGAAGGGACCGACATCACCATCTCACATTCTGCCCTCAGCTCCTGGGGCTAGGTCCTTGGGGAGTCCGGTGGAGGGTGGGGCTCCCTCCTCCTGCCCAGTCCCCACTCTTGTGGGTGGGAGGCCGGCTTCAGGCGTCACAGGTGGGAGGCCGGCCTTGGGCGTCACGGGCGGGAGGCCGGCCTTGGGCGTCACGGGAGGGAGGCCGGCCTTGGGTGTCACGGGAGGGAGGCCGGCCTTGGGTGTCACGGGCGGGAGGCCGGCCTTGGGTGTCACGGGCGGGAGGCCGGCCTTGGTGTGGCACACTGAGAAGATAGGACCTGACTGCCCTTGCTGAAGTGATTCCAGGCCAGGAGAGGCCGATGAGGTCTCAGGCTGCTGCCCCCCCCCCCCCCAATCAAGCTCTCAGCTCCTAGAGAGGGAGGGTGTCATTCACACTGAGGCTTGCCCTTGTCCCCATCCCCCAAATCCGTGGCTCAGAGATTTCTGCCAGGAGGGAGATGCAGGAAGTAATCTCCTCTCAAAGGAACTGACCTCATTTGCAACAGAACATGAAGCTTACACCTAAGGACACTCTCAACACTATCAGAGGTGGAGGTGAAGTGAATTAGCAGATTCATGCGTCTGCTGACCATGTAGCCTAGATGCAGGCTGGCTAGGGTGCTGGGGAATGAGGGGAGAAGACAGCTGGCAGGAGCCCTCCTGGGTCAGAACAACGTCAGGCACTCTCAGAAAGCAATGAGAAGGAGCTGCAATATGATCAGGTTGTAGAGGAATAACAGAGCTCTCAGCTGGCAACTTGGAGTTTTAACTACTGGGTGTGGTCAGTGAGACAGAGGAAGAGGTTGCTCCCCAAACCCTGTCATCCTAGGGTGACTGTGGCACACTGGCGCTGCCCCGACACAGAGACTGTTGCTGGGGAGGAGGAAGGGCGCACGGGCATCACGACAGTAACCCAGCCAGTCACCAAAAGACTAAACCAGTGAGTAACAGGCCCAGGATGGGGACTACCGAAAGGGCTAGAGTATCTTGTCTAAAATGTCTAGTGTCTAACGATGACAAGATGTGTGGAAGAGGAGGAGGGGAAGGAAGGAAGAAAAAGAAAAGGAGAGTATGACTCATACATCAGGAAGAAAGCAGGCAACAAAAACTGCTGTGAGAGTGACCAAATGTCAAATTTAACAGAATGAGATTTCAAAGCAGCCACTATCAGTATGTTCACAAAACTAAAGGAAGCGTAAGTGAAAATGCCACAAATAGAGGCTGTTGGTAAAGAGATGGACATTTAAAAAAATACCCAAATGGAAATTCTGGAATTGGAAAGTGCAATAATTAAAATAAAAAAATTTAAAAATCACTAGAAAAGCTTAACAGTAGGTTTTAACCGGCAGAAAAAAGAATTAGTAAACATGAAGATAGTTTGACGGGAATTATGCTGAAGAACAGAGACAAAAAGAATAAAACAAACAGCACCTCGAGAAGTGCAGGACACCATTATATGCCCCCACATATGCATAATGGGAATATCCGAGGAGAGAAGGGAGAAGAAAAACTATGCAAAGAGATAATGGTGGAAAAAAAACCCTCAATTTATTAAAAACAATAACCTATATATCCAGGAAGCTCAATGAACTCCAAGCAGGATAAACACAGAGACCCACAGATGGACACATCATAATAAACGTAATGAAGGTCAAAGACAAGGAAAAAGTATGGAAGCAGCAAGAGCAAAATGAAGATCACTTACAAAGGAACTTCACAGATAAACAGCTGATTTATCAGCAGAAACACTGCAAGCCAGAAGGCAGTGGAATAGCATATCCAAAGTGCTCAAAGGAAAAAATCCCTGCCAATCAAGAATCCTATATCCAGCAAAGTTACTGTTGAAAAATTAAAGTAAAAAATAAACACTTTCCCAGGTAAACAAAAATTGAGAGAATTCACTGCTTAGCAGACCTGCCTCACAAGAAATACTAAAGAAGGTTCTTCAGGCTGAAAGCAGGTGACCCCAGATGAAAATGTGGATCGACACAAAAAGTGTTAGTAAAGGTTATTATGTAATTAGAAAAGACACTATAAATGCATTTTTTTCTTAATTGATTTGAACAGCAACTGTATAAAAATAAGATGTATATAATGTATTAAGCCTGCAGCATATAGAAATGTAATATATGTGTAATGTTTGCCAATAAAAGCCCAAAGGAGGTGTGTGGGAGCAGAGGTGTGTGGGAGCAAAGGTGTAATGGTCTAAGGAAATGACAGATAGTGAAGCAAAAGCAATAATTGTAACAATGTGTATCACAACAATTGCACCAAAAGGGAGAAAAGCAAATACAGCTATACAGGCGTAACATCTTCATCTCACTGGAATTAAGCACAAACCTGAAGCAGGTTCTGATTATTTATGGTAAACTCCAGAGCAAACACTAAAATAAATAACTAAAAAAAAACCTTTAAAATATCATTAATGGGCTGGGTGTGGTGGCTCATGCTTGTGATCCCAGCACTTTATGAGGCCAAGGCAGGTGGATCACCTGAGGTCAAGGGGTTCAAGACCAGCCTGGCCAACACGGCAAAACCCTGTCTCTACTAAAAATACAAAAATTACTTGGGTGTGGTGGTGTGCGTCTGTAATTCCAGCTACTTGGGAGGCTGAGTCAGGAGAATCACTTGATCCCAGGAGGCAGAGGCTGCAGTGAGCAGAGATTATACCACTGCACTCCAGTCTGGGCGAGAGACCTCCCCTCTCTCTCTCTCTCTCTCTCTCTCTCTCTCTATATATATATATATACACACACACACACACACACATATTTATATGTATATATAAAAAATTAGTGCAATTAAAATGCTCCATAAGAAAATAACCAATGCAAAAGAAAGCAGCTAAGGAAGGATACAGAAACAACATGATCCGTGAGGCGCATGAAACAGAAAATAAGATGTGGCAGACACAGACCCAACTATATCAATCATGACATTAGATATGAATGGAGCGAACAACCCAATCAAAAGCAGAGTGGGTTTTAAAAAATAATTGAACTAAATGTTGTCTACAGGAGACACACTTTAGATTCAAAGACACAAATAGATACAATGTAAAAAGATGGGAAAAGATGTATCATCCAAACAGCAACCACAGGAAAGCTAATAGACAAAGTAGATGTTAAAACAAAAAGTGTTACTCGAGATAATATGTAATGATCAACAGGTCAATCCAGCAAGAAGATAAAACCATTAAAACATATGTACCAATGATACAGCAATAAGTAAATGAAGAAAAAACTGAACAGAAACAGAAATTGAGAAAGAGACATTCCATAATAATAGCTGGAGACTTCATTACCCCTCTTTTTAATTTTAATTTTTATTGTTTTTTAGACGGAGTCTCACTCTGTCACCCGGATGGAGAGCAATGGCATGATCTCGCCTCACTGCAACCTCTGCCTCCCAGGTTCAAGCGATTCTCTTGCCTCAGCCTCCTGAGTGGCTGTGACTACAGGGGCGCACCACTGTGCCCAGCTAATTAATACGGCACTTTCAATAATGGACAGAACTACTATACAGGAGAGCCAAGGAAACAGAAGGCATGAACACCACCATGAGCCGAACGGACCTCACAGACATCCGTAGAACGTGTCACTCAACAACGCAATATACGTTTTTCCGATGTGCACACGGAACAGTCTGCAGAACAGGACATATACCAGCCATAGAACCAACCTCAACACATTTAAAAGGATAGAAATAATACAAGTATAGTCTCCATCCACAGTATTAGAAATTAATGACAGGAAAAAAATTGGGAACCTCACAAATATGTGGAAATTAAACATATTCCTAGATAATCAAAGAGGTCAACCAAGAAATCAGAAGGGAGTCAGACTTGGAGATGAGTAAGAATGAAGACAGGACATATCCAGACTTACGTGGGGCAGCTAAAGTAATGCTCAGACGGCCATGCTCAGAGGGCCAGCGCAGCGGCTCATGCCTGTAATCCCAGCGCTTTGGGAGGCCGAGGCGGGAGGATCACTTAAGCTCAGGAGTTGGAGACCTGCCTGGCAACATGGTGAAACCCCATCTCTACAAGATACACAAAATTTAGCTGGGTGTGGTGGTGCACGCCTGCAGTCCCAGCTACTCGAGAGGCTGAGATGGGAGGATCCCCTGAGTCTAAAGGGTTGTGGCTTCAGTGAGCCCTGATGGCGCCACTGCACTCCAGCCTGGGTGACAGAGCGAGACCCTGTCTCAAAAATAAAAATAAAAAATAAAATAAATAAATAAAAAGAAAAAGTAATGCTTAGAGGGAAATTTGTAGCTGTCAATGCCTATAAGAAGAAAGATCTCAAATTAATAAGCTCACACTCCACTCTAAGACAACTGGGAAAACAAAAGTAAATAAAATTTAAAGCAGGCAGGGGAGGAAAATAACAGATGAGAGCACGAACTAATAAAACAGAGAAGACAAAACCCATAGAGAAACCAATGAAACCAA